CCCATGACGTGTGTTTTCAGAGCATGAAGTCCCTGGACGACGAGGAGAAGTCGGACCAGCAGCTGCGGGAGCAGTTCAAGGACAAGTGGAGCCGCACGGCGTCGGGGGCGCTGACCAAACCCATGCGCGACGAGGCGGGCAAGTACAAGAGCATCCTGGACACGGCCATTCAGGCAGACCACATCGTCAAGCAGAAGTACGACACGCACAAGAACGCCATCGCTCTACTCTCCAAACCAAAGGTAATGCGTGCGTGTGTGTGTAAGGGTTGAGTGTGTGTGTCGGAGTTGTGCGTGTTGATGTGGAAGTGGGTCATGTTAATGCGTGTCAACGTGAAGATGTGTTTGTGTTTGTGTTTGTGAATGTTGGGACTCTAATTTTATGTTTGTTTTTTGTTGTGTTTTTACCTTAACTTGCGAATCAAAGATGTCTCTCAGGAGACCACTGTTGTTTTACAATCTGAACTAAAGGTGTGTAATGCAAACAGAAAAGCTAAAGATAAATTTTCTAAAACAAAATGCGAGTGGGTGGTTGGTGGGTGCTCTGGTGTGGTCTGCTCCTTCTTTCCTATCAAACATCTATCGTCTTTATCTCCCCTCCTTCTTTTTTGTGTTTGTTACTCCCTTGTAACACCTCTAATCTTCGGCACTTATATTACTTTTTTGTGTTGCAAGTGCCGTAAAACACTTACTAAAACTAAAGGACATGGTTTTTTTCTCTAAAGCCAAAGGTAGTACGCGTGGGGATTGTGGGCGCGGTTTTTTGAGCATTTATTTTTCTAAACCTAAGGTAGCGCTTTTTGGGGATCTTTTTTGTATGTTGCTCTCTTGTAACAACTTCGGCAGTTTTATGACCTAGTTGTGTTGCAAGTGCCGTAAAACTCTTACTAAAAAAAACAAAAAAACAAAATCTCTCCCTCCACATACCTGTCTCTCTCACAACACCCCTCTTCTCTCAAAAAAAAAAAAAACACACGAAAAAACAACAACAACAACAACAAAAACAAAAAAACCCAATAACCCAACCCCAAAAACCGAAAGGGAAGAGGATGGGAGAGACATTGAGAGAGAGATAGGAGGATAAAAAAACAAGGTCAGAC